TGAACTCTGAACCTCGCTACACCCCCCGACCCCCAGTCCCATAAACCCTAAACCTTAAACCCCACACCCTAAACCTTAAGCCCTAAACCTTAAACCCTACACCCTAAACCTTACACCCCTAAACCCCCCAAAAAACCGAAACCCTAAAGCCTGAGAACATGGATCTTGAGCCCTCAGCCGCCTCTCCCTCACAGGATCAGCGCCCTCTTTGGATGCAAGCTCCTGCTTGAGTGGTTTAGGGTTTAGGGTTTAGGGTTTAGGGGATCCAATTCTTCATATTAGGCAGTTGAAGACTTAAGATCTGGTTTTACTGTTTGAGGCTCATAAACGAGGGTTTAGGGTTTAGGGCTCAAGTGGCAACGGGTCAATGGGCTAGAACCAAAGATGATTGCTGGGATGTGGAATCACGTAAGGACTCCTCGTCACAAGTCAGCACGAGTAAGCAGGCCGTCAGCTGGACTCGAAATATCCAGACATAGCCTCTCTGGGCGGCGCTTCCGCCGTCCTTTGGTCAATGAGGTCCCTCTTCGTCTTCGCAGAGATCACGGCGACTTCTGCTCCGGCACCATGCCCACGTGGAAACGACAGCAACAATGAGCGCCATCCAGGTTGATAACTGTCATGTGAGCTGACTAAACTCCTAGTATCCCCATTAACAATCCCTATACTACTCCCCTTTAAGAATCCCCTACATAGCCGCCATTTAAGGAGTTTAGACTATAGCTCATGTGGCCAGCACCCAGCCTCCGTCAGGTCTCACTGCCACTCTCAGCTGGATGTCCACTTCGGAGGCCGGCAGCAAGGTGTTCGGGCAAATCTGTTCAAGCGCAGCCTTGGCGCACTCCAATTTCAGATTATATTTGGGGAATATAGGGGTAATATAGGGACAATGGAAAAGAAAACGGAAGCTACTGTTTAGGGTTTAGGGTTTAGGGTGCCTTGGGGCTTGGGCGGCGAGGACATAGGACTTATGCCGAAGCTCTAGAAAATCAATATGTGTTACGATGTGAAGATGAACACAGCTAATCGCAGCCATACAGCGTCAGGTACTCGCAGGTATACAGCATTCTGGTACCACAAATTGCCAGCGAACATTCCTCTTGCTACCCTAAACCCTCAACCCTCAACCTCATCGTTGGGCAAGGGTATCACAGCAGGATGATGTTTTCGCATGAAAAGTCCATGCAACCAGAAGAGCTGTATTGTCAAGATGGGCGCTCCTAGGAACGCACACCCAACCCCAATAACAACTCTTTCCGATGTAGCACCGTTGTATGCCCTCTTTGGGGGTTGGGGGGAGTGACTTTTTACTAAGGGGATTGGATTATACCCTAAACCCTGAATCCCTAAACCCTGAACCCCTAAACCCTAAACCTATTAGGGGTTCGATGGAGGAGCTCCTAATTCCTATCTTCAACCTTCCTAATATAACCCCGATACAACCCCAATATAACCCTAATAACCCAAACATAACCCTAATATAACCCCAACACAACCTTGGGTACTTATCAGGGGTTCGATCGAGAAGCTAAGGCCTATCTTGGACCCTGGTAGTCCTGGGGCGTAGCAGGCGGGATCCTCAGTCGGCTGACCCCACGGTATGGGGTGTTTCACGGTTAAGGGCTCAGGGTCTGGGGTTTAGGGCTTAGGGTTTTCCTACACCCCAAAAGTATGTAGAACAAAAGCCTTGCGGGCTACATTTCTGGGTTTTGGGTCATTATTCTACCTACTTTTGGGGTTTAGGGTTTAGGGCTTGGGGCTTAAGGACATGTAGGACGATGATGCTTCGTGTGGGCGCCGGAATCATTGGAACAGGGCTTTGGGCGGGGTACATCAAGCTACAAGGATGTCAGGGCGCTTAGGGACTACTTGGGAAGAGTATACTAAGTAGTTCCGCAAGCTTCTACAACACTCAGGCTAGATTTGAGGGGCGTTCTTGTGTGAGGCATCAAACTTACGGGCTGAGTGCAGAGCTCAAGGTGTAGGTTTTGGGGCTGGGGATTTGAGATTTTTGTGGGAAAATCAGCTCAAAAGTGCGAACAAACGTACCCCAAGTCCTCACACCCGCATTCCCCCAAGAATTCCCTGAATCCCTGAACCCCAGATCCCCAAACCCTGAATCCTGAAACCCTGAACCCCAACCCCCAAACCTGAAACCCCAAAACCCAAGCACCGTAAATCCCTCAACCCCTGAATTCCTCAAAGCAATCAGCAGCCTAAGGTGCGGCGGAATCGGGGCTTCTACTTCGATGGCCTCAGCTTGCCCAAGCTGAAGGGGTCAGGGTTCATGGTTCAAGCTTTCAAAGAAAACACTAATCGAGTTGAGATAGGAAACCGTAACTCACGGGGAATAAGTAGTGTGAAGATCTCAAGAATGTTTAAGCTTGTAATCTGTGATTTATAGCCGCTAAACAGTCATCACAGTCGCATTTGGATATTGATATTGCCCCCCACCCGATTGGTTACTTCAAGTCGAAACTGCAGCAAGATTTTTTACAGGTCCCGAAACCCTAAACCGTAAACCCCATAAACCCTGAACCCTAAACCCTATCTATGACTGGTATAGGATGGGTTGGTATCCAAATTCGAAAGCTATAGCGATGTACTGAGGGCCTGGGTAGCTGAGAAGGTTTAGGGATTAAGGTCTCGGGCTTAGCGATTAGGGTTTAGGGTCTAGGGATTAGGGCTTAGGGTACAGTTTGGGCCGAGAAGGCCTATGCCGGAAAACATGTGTGCCCAAAGATGTGCTATTTAGGTTCTTGGACCAATCAGGCTACATTCTGGAGCTGACACCTGGCCCTGCCTGGCACCACAAGCTGAACCGTAAACCCCAAGCCCCCTACCCTGAACCCAAAAACCTCAACCACTAAATTCCCGAAACCCTACGCCCTGCATCCCTGCATCCCCAAACCTCAATCCCTGGATCCCCGAACTCCAATCCCTACATCCCTAAATCCCTAAATAGGAATATTAGGGTTTAGGGTTTTAGGGTTTAGGGTTTTCAGGGTTTTAGGGTTTAGGATCCCCAAGTCCTCAAACCCTGAGCCCTACATCCCCTCATCACGAAAGCTTCAATCCTAGACCCGGAGACCCAAACCCTCAATCCTGTATAATCTCTTATTTCTTATAACCCACATGTAACCCATGCGCAGCCGTTATGGAACTCGTAACCCCAAAGTAAACCACAAACTGCGTGGTCAGAATAGTAATTCTCTGAGCCCCTGAAGCCCTACATCCCTAAATCCGTAAACCATGCTGTCAGGATATAATAGTAATGATAAGAACAGTACTAAAAAAAACTCATGGTATGCAAATAACAATGAAAAAATGTGTATGTCAAATAATAAAGCCCTAAACCCTAAACCCAAACAAAAAACACCCAGCCTCGGCCCTCTCCGAGTCTGGCCGTCCGGTGCTGGCCAAAAGCTCAGCCTCTTGCGCAATGACCTGGTTTCAGGGGTCTTCGTTGAGGTTTTCTAGGGATAAAGTTATAATACATATATATATATATGTGTGTTTTTACAGCTATACAGATACAGATACAGATATAGAGGGGTTTCGGGAAAGGGTATAACATACATATATACATATATACATATACACATATATATATAATGCTTTATAGCATGGTGTACTACAATATAATAGGATCATATCATGTAGGTTCATAAAATGACTATCTTTGTAGGGTTATGTAGGGGTTTTTGGAGATATTGGGATATTCCCCTAGCAATGGAGCAACAAGTGGTGAAGACCATGGAAAATGAAATAGAAACTGCTTTGTGCGGGTTCGGGATGGTAGGTTTTATGATTTAGAAGTTAGGGCCTAGGGTTTAGGAATTTAGGGATTGAGGTCTTAAGGTCTAGGGCTTAGAGTGTGTTCAGGACATTGGGTGCTGTATTTTGGGGTCTTCAAAAATTCTGTATCCGGGCTGGTCAAACTCTAACCTCGAATGGACGGGTTTACAATAGTGGAGAACCAAATGAAAAGCACAATTGAAGATGAATTGGAAACTGAGATCATCTTGTGTGGGTTTAGGGATTGAGGGCTTTGGGCTTGGGGTCATGTGTTTAGAGCTTAAGGTTTGGGGTTTAGGGTCGATGGTGTAGGGCTTAGGTTATATAGCCCGTATAAACAGTACTGCAATCAGGCGCTCATATGCATACTTCTAGATGATTCCGAAATTGACTCACGTCTGACTGAGTTATGCGCAGCTCCAGAATCCATAGGCCTTACCAACCCCAAACCCTAAAGCCCTAAACCCTGAACCCTGAAGCCCTAAATCCCTCTTGAAATTGGGATGCCCTGAACAGCCGAAAACCTATAGACTATGGTCCTTAAGCAAGCACTGAACCCTTTCTGGACCTGCCTACTCCCTAGACTTTAAACTTTAAACCCCAAACCGCATCGTCTCAGAACTGGGCCCACATGTTGTGGAAGCTTGTGTTCTGGGGCTGGGCTGATCCCTCGACCCCACTCGCCCGTGACATGGGATGTTTTTAAGGGGTACCCTTGACATTCTAGATGTCCCTTTAAGGGGTTATATAGGGATCATATTGAGAAATACACGCCCGGTGATTCTAGCGAGCAGTCTTCCGCATCTGTCGGTCGATGAATCTTCGCACTCCTTGCGGACTAATGCATTACATATAAGTAAGCATCTATCACAACTCGAAGGGTTTTGCGTGCCCAAGGCCATACATGGATTCGTCCAACAACTGTAGGGATCAACACGCCATAACCCTAGGGATCCATGTATGTAAATAATCCCTACATTGGGCCCCAAAGTCTGTAAATATTACCTACATTGGGCTATTTGGATCCCTAGGGTAAGTGTGTACCCAGAAGTCCGTAAGCATCAACAGTACAAACCTCGGATTTGTTTCGCATCCTTCGCTCCCAACCAACGCTCAACACCCTAGGGCTCCATGTCTATAAATAGTACCTACATTGGGCCCCAAAGTCCATAAATATGACCTACATTGGGCTATTTGGAGCCTTAGGGACAGGCGGAAGGAGAGCAGTTATTCTCTTGGCCTGTCGCCTTGGGCGACGAGGCTGAAAGTTCAGTGACTCCCTTCTCCATGTAGCTGTAGCCTTTCCTATGCTGAACTTGCAACCCTCGCAAAAAGTACAAATGTAGCTGGTTCTTAGGAATTATAGCAACCAAAAATTAAAAATCGGTTCCAAATACCCCGAAGTTTCCGCTCCAGCCAGGCGACCTCCGCCTTCTGTGAATTTCCTAAACCCTCCGAGTGCTCCAGAAACTGGCGCTCGTGTTCCGGCAGCCAGGCCAAGAAGAGCCGATACACCTCAAGGGGTTTGTGGGGTTTGGGATTCTGGGTGGAGGGTTCAGCATTTAGGGTTTAGGATTTAGGGCTTAGGATTTAGGATTTAAGGTTTAGGATTTAATGTTTTCGGGTTTCGGGAGTTTCTTAGAAAGGAGGGGCATAGAAACCCCAGACGGTATAGAGGATTAAAAAAGGGATTGTAGGGATCCCTTTACAGGATGGTATAGGAGTATAGGGGGTATCTTGAGAAACACCCACCTCTCGAGAAAAGGGGGATGAGCCATCTGGGCCTTTGTCCTTCGAGAGGTGATCCAGGCCATCATCTAGCGCATTGAGGAAACCTTGTGACTTCTCAAAGTCTATTTTCTGGCTGAAGACCCTTTCCCTTCGAAGATGCTCTGCGCCAGCTGCTGTAAAGTCTGCAACTTTCCCTTGGCCTTTCTTACCATTGAAAAAGTAGACCTCAAGGGTGGCCCCCAGCTGGACTGCCTGCTCTATGTTGGCGATCCAATGGGACCACCATCGGCAACCCCAGGGTTTGGGTTCACCGTAGAGGGGCACACACCAGCATTCACCTGCCAAGTCGCACAAGTCATCCGTGGTGGGAATGGGATCATGCAGCCCATAGTGTGCTAAGCCCTCTGGCAGAAACACCACTGCAGCACTGATCTCATGCTTTCGAGCCCCGGCCACCAGGGAGTCCCAGGCAGACTCGTATTTGCCCGGCCAGGAAGAAAGTGCGTGACGGTTTGGGAGGACATTACCCTCAAAGACTATGGTCCTCTGGTTCGTTTGCAAAACCGGTTGGTTCAACTCCTTCTTCGGAGGCTGAAGCAGGGAAGAGACTGCTGGGACAGAGCCAGAGCCACGAGTGCACTTTGCAAGGGCATTGAGAATCATCAATGGCCAACGGAAGAAAACCAGACAACCTTTTCCAACAATATTTGCCCGACGCTTAATCCCCATAATCCATAAGCGGCAAAAGAGGCAGCACATATAATACGTCATGATGACCGGCAGAGTCCAGATGGTGGCAATGCCCCAGCTGTGGCCATTGGCGCTGAAGTAGATGGTCACAAGAACGGCGCAGATGAAGCACAGAGTCGGAATGCTGAAGAAGCAGCAGACAAAAAGCCACTTTCGCCAGTCCTCATTGCCATCTTCCTCGCTGTCGAAAACAGCAGCGCCGCGCTCCTGGTAGCTCCCAAACTCGGGCCGTGCAGCGCGAACTGAAGCCTGGAGCTGCGATGCGGTGTTGTCGTCGACGGCAGCCTGCAGCACGCTAACTCCCCCCATGGCGCAGCACCAGAGCACCACGAGGGCAGCGGCGAAGACCACAGCCTGGAGGCGGTCATGGTGATCGAACGTCAGCAGCCCATTTTGGGTAGCCGCCGTGAAGAAGATGACCAGACTCAGAAAGACTGAGATAGTGACGTCTGTGCATATGAGAACGTTTCTTTGCCTCCTGAGGGTTGTTCGATTCACTTCCTCATACAGCTGCTTGCTGATTGCATGCTGCCGTGCCTTTCTTAAACGGGATTCCTCTTCTGCTGCTTTTCTTTCATTTTGGATCAGTTTCACAGATGCCAGAGAGAAGTCACCGAAATCCTGCGACAGTAGCAAGCTTCCACTAGCGTCGACAGCGCAGCTCCCAAACACTCCAGGATCGTCACGCAGTCGCACTAAAACCTTCATGTGCAGGCCGACAGCAAATTTGTGTATGGAGCCCGGGTAGAGAACTTGCCAGTCTAGCGAACCCCAGTTCACCTCGACAGCTCCATTCAGATCGTTGAACACTTCGCAGGTCTTGATGTCGCCGTGGTCATCACAGGTTCGTACACCACAAAAGCTCCATGGCTCACTTGAAAGCTCTGTCATGGTCTTGGGTTTGAGGGGTGCGTTTGTGGTTCGAGATGGGGGATTACGGTTTCAGGGCTGGGTCGAGAAATGCCGGTTTAAGGAAGGTTTACGAGGTAGCGCTTGATCTCTAGGCTCCAGTCTCAGGCTTCCATATTGTGAGCCCTAAGCCCTAAACCCCAAACCCTACATGAGCTATAGTCTAAACTCCTAGTATCCCCCTGAGTAACCCCTATAGTAGTCCCCTATATAATCTCCTATATAACCCCCTTTTAGGAGTTTAGACTATAGCTCACATGAAAGTCAACGGATTGTTCTCAGCTAAGTCGCCTCTGTGAGGAGCAGATCACAGCAGCACGAATTCATCAACAAGTCTACACCTGTAACCCCAATAGCCTACAGTTTTTTGGGTTATACCTACTAATTAAGGGGTACTTACTAAACTGTAGGTTATTGGAGCCACAGGCAGTGCTTGGAGGGTCACGGGGGCTTAGTAAGTAGGTCAATAACCCCTATAACCCATGTAGCTAGTTACACTTATCCCATGATTAATCTACTTAGTAAGTTCCTCTGGCCCTCCAAGCGTCTCATCCTTTTGTAATGCGGCTTTGGAGCCTCGAGTATTGCTTTCAAATCGTGACATTTACTGTGCTACACACTAGTTCTAGTCATGCTCATGCTGCGACGCTCACCACAAGCCATGAGTACGACTGCTCCTACTCGCAGCTTTATGGCCTTTTTTCGCATTACCACCACTACTGCCCCTACTACTCCCCTCCAGCTACCACCAGCCCCCCCCTGCTCCTGCCTACTCCATCAGAAGCCCAGGTGCTGTTTAATAACTGAAAACCCCCCCTTCCCCCTCTTTCCTCAATCTTACTACAATCAGCATATCAAAGTCATTCCAATTACTTTTATTACTAATTTTACCAGGACTGCTGATATCACCCGTATTCTGCCAATATAGAACCCTAGACCCATGCGGTCGTCTGAACCCCGCCTGTCCATTAAGGGACTCCAGACTGGCCATGCTGTCCATCGCCCAGAACCGCTGGAGGTGGAAGTCGGGGTGCTCCTCTTTGCCACTTCTTTGCCCCTATAAAACAAGTGTTACATGTAGAAGTAAATGTACCTATATATATATATGTATGTAGTATATGTACACATGTATTATCTTATTTGTTTATACATACATACTCGTCCTGCCCACTATCTGGAGGAGACATTATGACCTCTTACAGGGTCGTAGGACTTAGGGTCATAAGGCTTGGGAGATTTAGGGTCCTTCTTTTTTTTTTCCGGTTCAGGGTTTGCAGGGATGTATGAGGTTCAGGGATCAGGGTTGAACCTTCTGGGTTTGGGAGTTTTGTGGGATTGCTTGGAGGCCAGGGCAATCATAACCTGCTTTGACTTGTAACCCAAGCATACCCCATTGAGGGACGCAGGGAGCTCACAACTTATAGCGCACGTACATATTATTCTATGTACGCTTTCATTGACCATAGACCTCCCACAGCTTTCTGGATACGCCCGAATCATGATTGAGGGGAACCTTAATCTACGGTAGCGTAGATGTCTTGAATAAAGCGTTCTGGGAGCTCTGGGCTTGCAATTGGGTACCTGTTGTTGGGTGTTTTCATCATAAGGTTTCCGGCTTAGGGTTTGGGAATCCTCAAAACAAAGGAGAGCTTATTAGTAACTCTCGGAATGCATGGAAACTAAAGAGGTAACCAGTGGGACGTTTATCACACAGTCAAGGTTTAGGGCTTAGGGTTAGGATTGAAGGTTTAAGGAAATTTTTGAGAAACATCGCCTACAGGACAAACAAAGAAAAATCGCTGCGGAGGGGTTGATGGTTTAGGGTTGCCAGTAGGAACCCTGTAGGCTTGCTGGCAGGAAACCTAAACACTGTTGGGTACAGGGTTTGGGGTTTTGGCTACAGGGTTTAGGGTTCAGGGTATAGGGTTATCAATCCTAGGACGATGAAGTTCTGCGGGCCTGCATAGATCCAGTGGGCTTTCAAGTGCTTGCGTGATATGGGCTGAACTCCGAGCCCCGAACCTTCAAGGGTTTAGGGTCTCGGTTCAGGGTTCAAGGTTTGGGGGAATGTTGCACCCAGAACCGTATGCAACCGAAATTAGAAAACCCGAAACTCTCAAATCCTAACCCCGGAAACCATTGCAAGTAAATTGCAAGCGTGAAGCGCTCGAAACCCTAAAGGTTGGAAACCCGCGAAAATGTTCCTGATTGCCCGCAGGTTACTAAGGTTATTAGGTTCCCACCCAATAGTAGTGGTATACTAGGGGTACGTAAGCATCCCTCCATAATTGCCGTTGGCTATTACCCTAAACCCTAAACCCACCCAAACAAAAGCGGCACACCTCGCCCACAGTTCGCTTGCACTTGCCGCCAAAGAAGGAGTACGACGGCTTGCCCGAAACAGCCTGAGGGAAATGCTTGCGGGTGCTTAATAGGGTTTAGGTTTTAGGGTAGGGAATAATTAGGGAAAATAGTCCCTAAATAATCCCTATATACACCATATAATCCCATGTTCCCTACGAACACCTAGTAAGCCTGAGGTTCAGGGCTGGAGTTTCAAGATAGATTCAGTATCCAAAGCACTGCCCCTTGGGACAAGCCACAAGCTTATCATTGTGAGACTCAACCCCTTAACGGCGTGGACCCCCAAAAGTATGCTGAATAATCAAGCCCTTTGGCTCTTCATTTTCCATGGTTTTGGACCACCATTTAGCCTACTTCTGGGGTGCAGGTACATAGGTTTAGGGTTGAGGCTCTAGGGTTCCCCAAGCCCTAAACCCTGACCCTGAACCCTGAGCTTTCCGTGCTCTAAGCCCAGACTTTGAGGGACCGGGCCTGCACTTGGCGCCTCGACAGTACATGGCGCACCTCAGGCACATGAGACTTCCTGGAGGTGAGGTTTCAGGGTTTATAAGGGTTTAGGGTCTAGGGTTTAGGGTTTATAGGCTATACCTCTACAAGTAAATAGGAAAGTATGTAAATATCAGGTGCACGCACACACATACACTAACATCTTCCGTCCCTGGGAGAACTACTGGGGGGTTCTGAGGGTTGCGAGGACTTAGCATGTATACTGTATACATACAGCTACCGATAGGCAACAGAATAGTCAGTGATTGCCCCGGCGACCCCTTTACTAACATAATTACCAAGTTCTTCCTTCTCGAAGTAGAGTCACTTCAGCCTACTCACGCAGAGGTTAAAGGGGGCCCATACGGGGGTTTCTCGAAATGACAAAGGTTGTAAAACAGTTGGGCCTAGACTGGGCCACCTATTTGGGAACCCCCCTAGGAGCTCCTTCCTAAACCCTAAACCCTAAACCCTAAAACCCTAAACCCTAAACCCTGGGACTCTGGGCCTTGTTTAAGGCCCGACCTCCCCATGATGTTTTGGCGAGGACATTTGAGCTATAGTCTAAACTCCTAGCATACCCCTTAGTAACCCTTATTATAGTTCCCTATATAGTTCCCTATATAATCCCTTTTAAGGACTTTAGACTATAGCTCATTTAGGAAATTCCGGTGTCGCAATCTGCACTGCCGCTTGCCAGGCGGGTTGCTGGCTGATGATTGTGCTTAAAGTTGGGTTTGGAAAGTTAGGATGGGAAAGGGCTCATACATGATCAGACTTCATGCCTGCAACCCAAAATCTGTACTCCTGACTTTGATAGGTCATAGGTTTGAGGGGATGTCTCGAACTCTTCAGTGCCTCTTGCCTTTGTGGGGGTCCCTTCAGGAAATGGATGAGCTGTATGATCCAAAGCTCAACTTTTCACACAAAAACATGTAAAAGCCTAAACCCCAAGCCAGGCTAGGCCCGGAAGACACGCGAGCGCCGTCCTTCTATACTTCCACTAGAATCACTAGAACATGCTGCAAAATTCTGTCATCCACCCCAAAGCTCTATTCCAGCCATGTGTGCCCCTATGCCACAAAGCCCAACCCTCAGTCTGCAGTTTTGATAGGTTTAGGGCAGTTTAGGGTTTAGGGTTTGGGGTTCAGGGTTTAGGGTTTTGGAATCTCTTCCAACACTTCGAAAAACTGAAGCACAATACGCCAAGGGGCCACCAAAACCCTACATCACACCTGTAGCCCTACTGCTGACTGTTCTATGGACCATAATTGCCTACTACTTAGGAGAGAATTACTTCTCAACTGTAGGGCGTTGAGGCCCACAGGTAAGCCCAGAGATCCCCAGAGCCCTGAACCAAGGTAATTGTGGTTACAGGTAAACCCTACCGAAGGGCAGCATGCTTAGCGGATCTGGAGAGCATGTCAACGGCCACGGCTTCTTCCACCGCGGTCTGCGAGGGGCAGTTTGGGGTTCAAATTAGGATTTGCGGTTTGGGGCTTATTCTTCAAAGTTTAGATCTTATAATTCTTCAAACTTGTAAGGCTAAAGGCTTTAAAACATTAGAGCTTATTACATTTGTTTAGGCTTAGGGCTTTAAAATATTAGAGCTTATTATTATAATGCTGTTGGCGCGAATAGTTTCGGGATCTATAGGTCTCGGGTGTCAGAGGTGAGGGCCTCAGGAGCTAGGAAGTGTCATCTTCAGCTCTACCCTAAACCAGAAAGATTGGGGGGGGGGACTGTCTCCAGAAGCAGAGGGCCCCAATGTAGACCCAAATATATTCTAATCCTTGTGCAAGAGACTCCCCCCAAAAAAGCCCCCTGATTTTCTTGTTAGCTCCGGCATGTTTTCTGAAGAGCAAAAAACCCGAACCTTGTTCTAAACCGAGCCAAACCCGAACAGCTCAACTCCAAACCATGGAAAGCGTCAACTGTCGGCCTTAAAACTCTGAAGCGCAAGCCCTCAACCCTACCTGGACGCAAAAGAATGAAAACGAAAATGTCCGCAAGTCCTTCTAAATAGCCATAGGCTTAAAGGCTGTCACTATGAGTAGCTGGACTTCAGAAGTCGAAGCCCGTACAAACCTCCGGTAGACCAGTAGGCTACGTACTGCAATCCAGAATCCCTA